TAGCCCCCCACGTTTTATTTTACAATGTTTCAGGCGTGTACCCATAAAAATTTTTAGGACTACATCACTGATCATAACTTACCTTTAAAGTAGTTGAATAACAACATTATAAATATTTATTTTTATATCGATGGTGACAAGACAAAAGGGTCTAAGCGACATAATTCATAGTTTTCAGGAGAGCCCAAAAACTTTTGTAGGTGATTTAATTTTTTTTTTTTTCTATTTTAGCAATAACTTTTTTAAAGTAAGGTGCGGAAGTTTAAAGTGCGGATGTAATATATATTTTTCCATCCAATAGAATAGATTGTATCGCTTAAACCCTTTTGCCATGTCACCATTGATATCTTATGCTACTAGATTCAATATTTTAAAATATTTATTAAGTATGACTTGTTTTTCAAAATAAAACATTTAATTGAACAATAAATCAAATTATAATACTTTGTTGGACATTATGTATGTATTAAATTTTTTGATTAATATGATTAATGATTTTCAAGACGACTGATATCAGTCGGCCAATAAAAAGTATTACCAACTAGGAAATTCTCTTCTATATCAAGGCTTTCTAGTTTAAGTTTATTTAGGATTATATTTGAGAGAACTTGATATGATGTGGTGTTAAATAGGAATATTCCATTATAGTGTTGGTAGTCTATCATATCTCCTTTTTTATATATAAATGTGTTATAATAAATATGTTTACTTATGCGCTGTTTTATGTTTACCATTAGAATACTCCTTTTCTTTAGGAGTTTCGATAGTAATAAATAGTTTTAGCTAAATATTTCATATAAATTTATATTTTTAGCTAAAACTTATATTTTAAACTGGGTACTTGAATTTGTATTTTTTGTGATTTTATAATTACTTTATTATATTTAAACATTCAAAAATTAATCTTTTGGTACATTTTTTATAGAGTGAGTATAATAGTCACTTTAGTTTTTCTGAGTATGGATTCAGCAGCATGAGAGATATGGCATACAAGTTACCGTCTGTTTTTTATGTAAAAGTAACTGAAGATAACCATGAATGTATTCTATTTGAAGCTTGTAGACGAAATGAACTAGAAAATGACTTGGACGGTTAGTAATGATGAATGTGTTTATGTTATATTATCAAATATGGTAACTATTAACTAATAATCAGTGTTGGGATACTCCAATGTATTTATGTATCATATTACACTTATTAATGTTTATCTGTTTCATATTAAATATTTAGGGTTACACTAATAAGAGAGAAAAAAAATTGCCTATAAGGTAATTTCAAAATAAAAAAAATATTTCAATCCTTTTGATAATGTTTTTGAATTCACACAAATGTAAATAGATTTTTTTCATTTATATTTTTCAATGTTTTTATAATTGCTATAGTTATATTTTATATACTTTCAATGGAACAGTCATTCTGTTCAACAGGTGTTAGGAAAATATATTAGACACTAAGACACYTTATATGTTGAGTAGGTGCTCACAATTCCAACAGCATTCATTCTTAAATTCAAGAAATGAAACTTAATTTAAATTGTGTGTAAGACACCAATAATGTATTCTATGTCAGTTATTGTCCAGTATATTATAAGTTATAATAGTAGTTTTAGGTTATTTATAAACTTGGGATCCTTATAACTTACTTTGCATGCTCCATCTGCCTAATTATTGAATATTCCATTTTAATTCATCACATTCACTTGCAAAATACATCAAACATTTCTATATCAGTGAAGGCTTTTATACCATTTTAAAATTATTATCATTAGAACAATATTATAGCACAAAACTAAATTAATTAATTTTTATTACATCTGCTGTAACTTATAGTGATGATTTGAACAGAAAACATTCTAACCTTATTTCCTATGATATTTCCTCACTAACACTTTCTGATAATGCTTCTAGCATAAAATGTTGAGAATCTTTGGACGTTATCTTTAATCTTTAGTTTTCATAGAATTATATATATTATCTAGATAAGATTATCAGACGGTATTCAATAATAATTATATACCAATTTACTTAAGGTCTAAAATTTTTTATTTATTACCTGATGTGTTTGTTATAAAACTTTTATGACAATGAAAACACAGTATTTTAATAGATATAATATAATAATATTTATAAGAATCTTGACTATTTCTTGGTTTTTCGGATACTTGAGAACTTTCTGATCTAATATGAGATATATTCACTTTACTAAACAAAAATTTATTGATATGTTAATTTTTGACTAAATTTTGTTAGAATCTATTATTTTAATTTATTACTTGGGAAAAAATTCATAATTCGATTTAAAAATGCAGTGTATCCATTGTATATGTATCAGCATTCGACTTTTGACTATTCTTATTTTATTTCTATCACTATTCTACATATTATATATACATATATTTTTTTTAAACAAAAATCATTGTTTTAACATAACTCCTATGTTTTTATATTATCATAACTATACAAAGTACAAAGCAGTTTAAAACGTTAAGTTATTAATATCTCATCTATTATTAACCGACCAACCAACAAACCTTCTTACTAAAAGTATTTTGTCGGTTAACTGCCTTATGTAAAGTACATTAATGCTGCCTTTGAATTATATGGTACATAATATGAATTCACATTATTTTTTAATTAAAAAATTATGTTATATAATTTTCAGATCCATCGCTGTTTTATAAGAAGATTCCGAAGACTATATTGAATAATCTTTCAAATTTCTTTGATAAGTATCGAAATGGTGTCAAATTGAATGAACTTTTGACTTTATACTGTGTAATATAATAAATTAAATAATTTTTCTTTAAAACTATTGTTTTAGTTGTATTTTATTTTTTAGGCAGAATATGGCCGAGCTTATGAACCATTAAAGTATGGATATACTTCTGAAAAGCACATGTTTGAATCTTTAGACAAAATGGTTGAAGTTAAAAATAATGAGCTATTTACAATAAATCATCTTGCCTATAAAGAACTTTCAGAAAATATAGATCATACTGACGACTATGATAACATTTCTGTTGTGTTACCGGTATGTATTAAAAAAGTTTGTACCTTTTAATGAAAATTCAGATTGTATTGTGTTATATTTTCTTAAAAATTTAAATCATCTGATTTTCAATAAATTTAATGTTTTGAAAAAAATGATTCAAAATACAAATTGAAATATATTTGACATATATTGTATTAATAAAAAAAAACATTAAATTTACTGGATTGTTTTGCTATACACAGAATCCTGATTTTTTATTGCATTATTCTGGCAACGATATCTGCAATGGAAGATTTAAATATCCTAAAGTTAAGTTTGATCCTCAAAAGTCTGTAAATGTCATTGTTGCTGAAATTTACAACCCAAGTTCATTTTACATTCAATTAGCAGCAGAAGTCAATAATCTGAATAGTTTAATGGACTCATTGCAGTTGGTTTTATCTTTCATTGATTTTCTACTCCGTTGTTGACTTACTAAATTTGTATCCTGTTTATTATTATAGATTGTTTTACAAGAAAAATGAAACAAAGTACAAAGTTCTACCACAACTAATTCTCCAAAACTTGGCATGTACCTCTTGTTTTGAAGATTCCGGCTTGTGGCACAGGGCTACAGTTATGAAAATTGTTGATGATAAAAATGTTCAAGTAATTAAGATTTTTAAACATATTATAGATTTATAGCTTATATGAACCTTAAAATAAATTCAAAATTTAAAATGTATTTTTGTTTATAAGTTAATATATGTAAGATATCTATTTAGTTAACTTCATACAATTATTCAATAACACGCACATTTAAATTAATTAAATATAATATTTAAAAATAATTAGGGGATGTGTGTTGAACCATATTTGTTTGCTAAAATTAAAGTAAGTGGTTAGAAATATTTCAAAGGGTATCGGTACCGGTTCTTCCATTTTTCCGCAATTCTATAAAATTTGAAAATTATATTTTATTTTGTATTACTACCTAGATTATAATACTTTTCCATTAATCTATTGCTTGATACCAATTTTTTTTGGCAGGTTAAGGGGGGGGGGTTAATAGGTGTATTACATCAACTAAAACTATGTCATGGGAAAATCTCATGCCTCACTGATATATCAAATTATAATAGTTTTGCTATCCGAAAGATAAATATCAAATTATAATAGTTTTTTTTATCTAAAAGATAAAAACTTTTCAGGTTGGATCAAAATCTAAACTTTCATTTTACTTTAAATAGTACTAAAAAGAAAAGTTGGAAAACAACAAATATTATGCATTATTCAAATGCATATTTTATCGTCTATAATTATAATTTTGAATACAAACTTTGATCTGACTTGCATGATATACTATTTATTTATATATAAAAAACTTCTAAATAAAAGAAATTAAATATATAAATCCAACTATTAATACTTGTCTTTGTTCTAAAATATGCATCGGCTCTGACCTCCTTAAATTTAAATATATTTAGAAAAATACTAACATAAAATTGAGTTTACTTTAATGTTCTGAATAATATGTTATTTTAGATCATTCTTATTTTGGCTTATTTAGTTATATTTATCTTTAATCATTTAGTGTCCTTTTTTATAAACTATTTCATTTGTTTTTTATTCAAGAATTAAATGCAGTATCAATTATTAATTTTCTCAGTGTAGAAGGGGGTTGTGGTATTTTGTTGCCTTGTAATTAGTAATCATAATATTTACAATATTTTTTAAACACTTATAGAGCTAGACTAGTTAGTCTTGTTTTTTGGAGTTTTCTTAAAATATAAATTTTATGTAAAAATGTTTGTTCATGAATTTTTATATTTTTAAAGAAACTGCCACTGTTGGTAGAACTTTTAACAATAAATAAATATATGGAAAAATTCAGGATTACAATAATTTAATTATTTAAGTGTTACACTAATTAATAGAAGGTTGATATCAATAAGTAATATGATGAATGATACTATTGTGTCAATACTAGTCAATTTGTATACTACTCTTTATCAATATTTTGTATGCAAACACTGTATTTTATTTAAATATACTACTTTTTATGGATTTTATAATACAATTTTACATAGACTTTTAATTTGTATACATTTCAGAAATTGGTAGTTTATTAAAATAATTTAATATTTTGTTTTTATGGCATATTCAGTTTAGGGAATTAATTAATAAATATTTATTACTTTATGTAAATTTCACATTATGTTGAAAAGTAAACATAATTATTTGTTTTTATATAAAATTGACCTCTTTTTCATTATTTTTTTAGTTATTATATGTTGATTATGGGTCAATAGAAATAGTACCAAAAGAAAATGTTAGACTTTTGGCATCACAATTTGGGATGTATCCTGCTCAGGGAGTGCATTGCAGTTTGCACAAATTCAATGCATTAAATTATCCACGAGAAATAAGTGAATCATTTGCTGAAATGGTTGAGAACCATGAACTAGAAGCACAGTTTCACCCACCAATATCTGACGTAAATTTCTAAATAATCWTAGTTTTACTTAATTATTAAATTTTATTTTATTTCAGGACGATTCTAAAAAAAAAAATGTAACTTTATTTTTGAAAACACAAAATAGAAAAATTAATATAAATAATACATGGTAAGTTTACTTATAAATATAATTTTATTTTTAGATTCTGAGCGAAGTAAATGAATGTATTGTATTTGTACATGGTTTTTTTTTGCTGTCTGTAGAACTATTTGAGGTGGAATATTCTCCGATTTTGAACATCAGCATATTTTTTGATATTAAAGTGAATTTATTTGTTACTCTAATTAAGTGTCAGGAAAAACATAACTAAATTAGTTATTTTTACTCAAAACCAGTTTTTGAAAAGTTTGATTTTATTTTTTATGAGGTAACTTAAAAATTTATAACTGCTGACCCAATTTTAGCCAAATATTTATGTTAAAACATTTTCAAAATATTTAAACTCTTTTTGAGCTAGCTAAAATGCCTTGAAAATTTTTAGAATTTTTTAAATAATTCTTAAGAGGACTCAACACCCACATGCGTTGTCACATACCAAAAACTGTACTTGCTCGTCACAACTTTTATTCCTCAGTATTTATAATAAAATGATCAAAATTACACAATGGATAGGTAAGAACTTTATCTGTGTCAAAGCATTGTTATTTTTTTGAAGGTGAAAAACCGATAATTTTTAATAGTTAAATAAAACAGTAAAAAATAATTTTTTTTCTTAAGCTAATAAACAGTTGTCCCATGCAAGTACAATTTTTGCTATATTCTGCGTTTGTAAGACGGAGACACGAATGCCGACGCCACGTCCTCTTAATAAAAACTTTTCACTTGGTAAAAAAAACTCAAATTTTTAATTGGAGTTCTTCATTAGTGCCTTTATAAGAAGCTCAAAAATATTACAGATACTTAGTCACAATTATTTTGTGCATGTATATAGGTACTTTATAAGTATTTGAAATATTTATCAAATGTTTATTTGATCATTCTTTTTTTTATACATTATACAATTTTCAAAAAAATTTTACCTGTTGAGCTATTTTGATTTTAAGTGTTTTTTTTGTCTTTTTCTATAAATTTCAATAATATTTTATCAAATTTGGTCAAAATGCTTGACAATTTAATCAAGGTTTCTCATAAGTTGTTATGATAGCAATTCATAAATATTTAAGATCCATACACATTTATAAATTTTTTAACATATTATTTTGACTAAATTTTACAAAATCTCCAACATTTTCCAATTATTTTTAATTGAACATTAATTATAAAATGTATAATTTTATAGCTAAATATTAAAAATTACAGACATTTTAAGTTAAAATTTGGATGAAATTACATATTAAAACCAAGAATAATGGTTTTAGTTCTTTTTTTGTAATTTAAAAATATTATTCATGGGTACCTATAACTTTTAGAGTAGGTATATTATATTTTATACACATAATGACATTTTCAAATGCAATTTTTTCAGTGACAATAAATTCACCTTGCTGTAATACTATCTGTAATACCTCATAATAAATAATTACTTTAATCACAATAATATCATAAAATATACTTCATATAACTATAGATGGTCGCCCATCTTCCTTCAGAATCGTTGAATATATATCATTGAACTAAAATTTAATACATCCATAACACTGAATCTCTATACACCTAATGTGCAGCAGATCAATACCCACTTACTTGGCTTTTTTTTAATMTTATGAGGCAGTCACACAAAAAAAAAATTATATTTTATAATACATTGTATTGTTAATTTTTTTAATGTTGTTTCCAGTTCTAATGAAATAATGAAACATTTACATAAACACCAAGAATCTGTTAGAAGGTTGATTTATAAAGTAATAGAAGAAAACAAATGAATTCGAACTTTATAGAAAAACAAGAAATCAAAGAAAATTCCATTTTTTGAAATATAGTTATGCTATATTATTTTATGTATACTTGCTACTTAATTTATGATTATGTACAGACTAATTAATTTCAGTTTCTTCATTAATTCCTACAACTAATTTATTTGACATTTTTTTAATTATATATATTTATTTATGTTTGTAACCTAAAATGTTGAGTACCTTAACTCAATTAGTTAATTACTAAATTGTCGTATTTTATTTGTAATACAAATTGTTTAATATTATTTTTGTACTTGTTTTTATAATTGTATTTGAAAAATTTCTCTAGGATATTTGATTTTCGTAGTAAAATAGATGGTCTTCAAATAAATAATTTGATATGTCATATTGATAATAGGATATCAGTATGAAATATTTCAAACTTAAAACTTTTGTCCTTCTTGAATATTGAAAAATATGTATATATTTTAATCTTGTGTTTCATAAAATCATAACTAAAAGATCAGCCTATTTTCATACCTGATTAATGTTTATCAATATTTAATTTCCATTCATGATATTGAGAAGATAGATAATTATTATGCAAATTATATAGTTATAAATTATAATTGTACAATGTTTGGTGCATTTAATTCATTATACAGGGTGATTCATGGAGCGTAAAACACTCATTATTTCCAAAAGTGTAAATGTTTTTGAAAATATAATTTTACATAGCTTCAAGTYGTTTACAAAACCATGTTTTTATTAAAAAATTATATTTTTAACATTTTTTTATCCCTATATTTTTTTAAGTTTTTTACTTTTTTGAATACAAAACAGAATATTTTTCCAAGTATTTCGATACATAAAAATTGAATTAAGGGCAAGTAGTTTATGAGTTATAAATATTTAAAGTATTGATGAGCGGAGAAGTGGACAAATATGTCGCGGGGTAACCCCGTACCACTCTACTCCACTCATCTAAACTTTAAATACCTATATCTCGTAAACTATTTACCCTAAATTCAATTTTTATATATCAAATTACTTAGAAAAATATTCTGTTTTGGAATATCAAATTAAAACTACATGTTGTCATTCTAAAAAGTAAAATACTTAAAAAATTATAGGGATAAAAAAATGTTAAAAATATAATTTTTTAATAAAAACGTTGTTTTGTAAACGACTTGAAGCTATGTAAAATTATATTTTTAAAAACATTTACACTTATTGAAATAATGAGTGTTTTACGCTTCATAAATTACTCCTATGTGTTTACTGTACCTACTTCCTACTATAGTTTTAAATTAAGTTACAATTTTATTTTTATTTTTCATAAACATGAAATTTTCAAACTATAAATTCATTATATCAACATTTGTCTTTTAACAATTTTAAATAATTTAATTGAAAGCATATTAAAGAAAAGTGACTCATTAACACACTATTTATAATTCAATTAATGTATTTTAGTTATTAATTGTTCGACAATTGTCAAGGGAATTTAAAAACAATTCAACTTAGCAACTTGGTGATCTTTATATTCCAGTGGGCAGTGGCCTGGTAGGTATTTGAAATTATTTAACAATATGATTATATAAATTGTAATACCATCAGACTTATATGAAGTTGCTTGATAAAGATAATTGTTATGTTTGAATAAACAAGTGTTACTAACAAGTATAACAATTGAATCATTGTTTAACCAAGTTTAACTTAATCAAAAATACCAAAACTATTATTGGCCTTACTACAAAGTTGACAATGGTTTAGTTCCTGATTATTACAAGCCCCTAGTGATGTCTAATAAAGTAAATTACATCAACAATTTGTGGGTTAAATCTTATATAAATAAAATTTCGACTTTTAGACAGGAGCGTGACGTGTTTTAAGGATTAATATTTAGGCATTTCATATAGCATTTATATTTGACCTGTGGGCCTGTGTGGGAACTAACGAATGTTAGTGTGTGTAATTTATAACATTCGTTCTCGTGCCACCAGCTCACCGCCTACGTATATGGACTACATTACGTRTTCCCGGAACTATTACGGTTGACCTGCAATGACCATACGTCCCGTTTAATACGGGATTGTCCCTTTTTTGATCTTCATTTGTCCCGACAAACATCAAACGAGACGCTTAAAGAAGATGGTCCCTTCATCCCTTGTATAATCCCGTTTTCTCTATATTATTATGTGTAAAATAAATTATATTAAGCTTATTCAACATTATTTAAATTGTAAAATAAAAAATGGATGGATTTTTTAAGAGTATCTACCAAAAACTGTAACGTTATTTATTTGTTTATAAAAATGGTCATCCTAGTCACGATAATAATAATTACCTAAATTAGTTTAGATCCTATTTTTTTCTACTTCAATATTTTTGAAGTAAAACTTCTTTCTTGAGATATGGATGGAGAAAAAAATCGTCACGAAAAATGAAACGGTATATGACCGACAGAAATCGCTTGAATGGTTAAATGTTATATGTGTTTTTTTTCACTCCTTCCCTATCTCACTTATGATTTAACGGACCCAATATACTTATGAAAGAAGTTATATTGTTTCCTTTGCTATTAAATTTGAATATTTTATAAATATTCTGCGTTATTGTACGAGTATGTTTCTTATAAAGAAAAACAAATATTTTAATAACTTAATATTTTATATAGTATTTTTACAAGAATAATTAGACACGAATACCTGAAGTGGTAATATATATATACTAAAAACTTATATTGATTGGCAAATGTTTTTTTTTTTTATCATTATTTAATATATAGAATTAATTCGAATTCAATCCGATATTGAAAAAAAATATCAGCACATTTTTAATAATGGTCAGGATAAAACGTTGGGTCTTCAATTTCTGACTTCTTTTTACGTTTGCTTCTCTTCATTTGAGGAGATTCAGATTCATCAGACGATGATGATATGGAAATAATAGACGAGGAGGATTTTCTTTGTTGTTCTTTAATATGTTGATTATACGTCACTTTCCGTCTGAACGCTAAATTGCAACATGTGCAAATATAAGGGTCCGGACTAACACTACATAAAAATATGAAAAATAACACATTAAAACTTTATAATAACCATTCAAATCATAGCGATGTCAATATTTTACATTGGTCTAGGTGCAGCCTTTTTTTTCGGCGATCTTGCTCTTTTAGCCTTCGAGGGTTTCGTGATGTTTTTCTGGAGAGTCCAAGTGTTCTGTATTCTCATACAATTATGTGCTGGTGGATTTTTATAACTTTTAATAAGATGGTTTAAAGATAAACTTGTAGTCACTTTGTTCATACGGGCATTCACGCTGCAGTTTTTGGAGACAGATGATGGTCCTGATGCGTTGTCATCAAGAGCTCTATCGTCGCGTTTCACCATTGAATAAGGGGAAAACAATTTTTTGTTCTCATTTTCCTCCTGATTTATTCCTTCTAGTGATTTAGTTTACAAAATGAAATAATATTTTTAGATTATTGTATTAGTGAAACTTACTGTTATACGCTTCAAATGCGCGCTTTAATGGCAACATAACGTCTAAGTTAATGTGGGTGCTAAGGTAAGTAACGATTTTGAATTTTGATTTTATTTAAATCACAACAAAGTCTAATAAAATACTATGTTTGTTATCAAAGCAATTTTAAACTGTTCTAGCCAACATAATATTATGAGATTTAATACATCGCTCGTCTTAGATTTTAATTTCTTATAGGTACATATAGGTGGTTGGAAATAAATTATTAGGTACTTAGTTGAATTATTAATTTATTGTTTGTACATCGGGTAATGAATATACAACTAATATATAACTATTATATATCTTAGTTTACGATCGGGGTGGATTTTATTACTCGTCAAGGGGCGGGGGGGGGCTTAATTGAGATTCAATCATAGATTATTAAAGTAACATTTATTAGAGTAACATAGAGGCCACGATCCGGATAGACGTCGAGGCAAGAAAATCTACGACCTGGACAGTGCTTCCACTTTCAATGGTTAAAGTTAAAAATATTGTACACTTATATTTCTGGTATCGTGAATTTATTTAAATTGCAAAAGATATTTATACATTTTTAAATTTTAGATTCTGAGCAGAACGAGGATGTGTGTGTGTTTTTTTTTGTGTGTGTCTGTCGACTGTCATCACGTTTTGGGGTGATAAAAATGCTTCGATTTTCGAATTCAATATTCTCAAGGTTCTCTCATATTTCCTAAATAATCGGAATAAACAAACTAAAAATTAAGGAAAAAACGGGAATTTATTCGTACAATCAGTTTTCGACAAAATCAATTTTATAATACGTAAAAATCACGAAAATTCGCAAATTATTTTAAGCTAAAAATTCATAAATAATTTTCTTTTTAAATCTAAGATTTGTAAATTTCATTCAAGATTCCTTACAAGTTCGCCAAAGCGTTTGAAATTGAAATTTTTACAACATTGGATTCGCAATTTTCTTATTTTGGTATTTGGTGTAACTCTAAAATAAATTACCGCAGTCCGCAGATAGRTACTTGAAGTTTTCACTGAATGTTTATATAAGCATTTTCTATATTTGATAAGATTTTCAAAACATTTTGATTAGTTTTGAGCTGCTCACTGACAATTTAATTTTTCAACTTTTGTAGTTTTTTTTCTATACCTAAATATCGATAAAAATGTATTTGTTGGGTATAAAAGCTTGAAAATTTAATTCAAGGCTCCTAACATATTTTTACAATAGCAGTTGAAAAATAAAATAATAAAATACATAATCACAATTTTTTTTTTACAAGCATTCAAAATTTGAATTTTGACAACATCCATAAAAATCACGAAAATTCRYAAATTATTTTAWSYTAGAAATTCATAAAAAAA